ATGATATTCTCTTTCCTCCTAGTTGTAGAATTTCCACTCAGCCAGCCCTCCTGTGGTTCTGGATGATGTCCGTTCCGTCCTTTTGTTGTATCTCTGAAGTGGTTGTTCTAGGCAGCAATCTCCGGCATTAACCTATGCCGCCATCTTGGTTTTTCCCTCTTAGTAAAGTTTCTAATTAGATATGTTTGTTGGGAATGAAAATAGAAAGCAAAAAACCCAGTAAATGGTCCTGTAGAAATTCTGATAGTAACTATAACAACTATACCATCAATAATTCAATGCCATTTGAAACCTGTGCAATTTTAAGTGATTTACACAGACCAGAGTTGGCACATGTTGTAGGTAGATGTGAGGGCACCAAGACACCACTTCACTGTTTTCCCAGAAGTGTAGAGTCAAAAAGGTCACTTGTGGTAAAAGATCTTTTGGATTAGTCTTTTAAATCAATGCATGAATTAAAGATAATTTACATATAAATAAGCTAATACTTTGGCTTTGAAATTAAATGAATTTTTAAAAGATTTAAGTAACTGCAGAAAAGGTCAGATAGTATTAAGTATAGATAATGTGATTTTGAAAAACCACTTGTCTTGTTGGTTTATTAATATTTTGTATTCACTGTCAGTGTTGCTCTAAAAACTGTGCTTAATTAGCAATGCACCAAAGTCAAAGAGAATAAGAAAAAACCTATTTTCAAAATCAGTATTTGGAAGGAACAGGTCTAGAATCTGGACATGAAAATAATCAAAATTAACCTTTGCCCATATATTAATACACTAGAGGCTCAATGCACGAAATTCATGCAAGAGTAGACCTTCCTTCCCCCGCTGCCAGAACCAGCTTCCCTCTGGCAGCCGGGACCTGGGCTTCCCACACAGCCCCGGCTTCGTCCTGAAGGTCGACCAGTCTAATTAGCATATTATGCTTTTATTATTCTAGATATTATCACAACACACTCTAAATAAACCTGGCATCTTTCCAGTGAAATTTACTTTGGTATTTAGCTTCACTGATAAATTACTGCTCTTCCAAAACACAAAAGCTGTAGGTGTTCTGGGAGTTATCAGAGGGGTTCATGATCACAACCTCTAATCCCAATTGGCCTCTTTGGAGTATAAATCTAGAGTTTTTTTCCAACTGTGATGAAGGGGTGAAACCACCACCCTCTTATGAACACCAGTGTACCTTAAAAATGTTGGACCTCAGGATACACAGGTGGAGCACAGGGCATTTTTAGGACAGTGAAACTATCCTTTGTGATTCTATAATGGTAGATATGTGATACTATGCATTTGTCCAAACACCTGCTACTATGCAACACAGCAATACTAATATAAAGCAGGGGTTTCAGTTAACAATAATGTTAACTAAACTGTAACAAATGGTTCACCAATGAAAATAGAAAGCAAAAGTCCCAGTAAATGGTTCTGTAGAAATTCTGATAGTAACTATGACAACCATACCATCAATAATAACAAATGCACCAATGCCAGGTGTTAATAAAATGGACGGTGTGGGCAGGGGTAGGGAGTATGTGGAAAGTGTTTTTCTGTAAACCTAAAGCTGCTCTAGGAATTAGAGCTGTTTTTTAAATTGGTAAGCCTAATGTAATAATACCCCTCAAAGACACCTTCCTTAGATAAATGGCTTACAGACTATACTCAGAGGAGCCCTATTGGCCCTGGGAAATGATTCACTGAGCACTTGGCTTGGGGATGTTTGGGAAAGGGAGCAGGAGAGGGGGGAGCAATGAACAGGAGGCTGCTCCAACGAGGGCTCCATCCTGTTTCAAGGGGAGAACTCCCCTTTCACCTATTGAGCAAATTGTTTTCCACACTGTAATCCATTAGAGAAAGGGTTCCTCAGCTAAAGTTTTTAAAAAGGTATGAAGGTAAGGGAAGGGAAGGGAAGGGAAGGGAAGGGAAGGGAAAATGCAGTGCATGCGAACATTCAGACATCAGCGATGGGCAGTGTCCATATGAAAGGCATCTAAAAAGGAACAGAAGCTGGAAGTAAGTGCTGTGTCCCTCTTATCTTCAATTGCACGCATGCCTCTTCTCAAAATCGGTGTCTCCCCATCAGTCCTCACAAAGGACTCAGGACCCAGGATCCTGCAGATGGCAGCTGGCTCCAAACAAAGGCCCAGTGGCCCGTGGCCCAAAGGTTGAATGGCCTCTCCCAGGAGCTGCTGGGAAAGTCCTGACAGCAGAGGCAGCAGCTTCTGGTCAGGTGGCTACTTCAGAAGTAAACACCTTAGATGGGTTTCTCCCTGAATAACCAGCCCTACACCAAAGAGAAAACACTCGGCTCTTATGACAGGTGCCGGGATTTTTTTCAAGCCTATATGTGTTAAGCTATGCTATAAATTACTGCTGGTGGGTGTGAAATATATATCCATGTATATTGATGTGTGTGTAAACACACACACACACACACACACAGTATGTTACAGTTAAAACCATGTTGTCGACAGTCACTCAACTCCAGAGAAATTTACTGTTCTAAATGCAGACACACACTCAGGATAAAGACAGGAGGATTATAAATGCTTCGACAATTACCAGAATAAAGAAAGCGCCTGAGGAGCATAAACATTTGCAGCACAGCCTTGCGGGCTCACACTGGTGGCCGCGGACCTGTTGCAGATGAGTGTCGGGGAGATCAAACATGATTAAAAATGCAAAGGTGCTGCACCCCGGCTACATGCTTTATTTGACAACAGCTCTGGACTCAAAGGCACCAGTGCAATCCACTGATCAAAGTGCTTTTCAGTAATTCACGTGCCCACTGAGACTCACTACGAAGGACCTCTTAAAGGAGGCAGTTTTTTACAGCCATTAGCAATTCCATTTTGAGACAATCCTTCAATAACACCATTTTTTTTCACAGAGAATTGACAGCTTGTTTTACCAAGATGAGACCTAGAAGTTGTTAGCAACCTGCATAATACATTAGCGATCAGCATCTGAACAGTGGGCTTGAGGTAGGTGCGGGAAAACCAATGGTGGTGCTGACGCTGGTGAGCAGGTGTCCTAATACTACAACTAGAGAAGCTGAGACGAAGTCAGGTTTTACAAAAGTAAAACTTCTGATGTCTGGAGACCCAGGAAGGCCCAGTGGAAGGAAGCAGTCTTCATTTCCTTGCTATTTTGATGTAGTTTTTCCCCTTGTATTCTACTGTGTATTTTTCATTTTATTTACATAGGTACACATACGTACAAAGGATATTTAGAGATTTTTTTTAAACCTATAAATTCAAAGCAGAGCACAAATGTCTTAGGTCTCAGCTCAGATGCTAAGAAGACGAGTCATGATTTATTGAATTAGTAAGGAAGGGCTCCTAAGAGAAACCGCTGAGGGAGTGGCAAGAGGGACTGGAGAAGGCAGGAAGCCATGCGAGGGTAGGATTTGGGTGCAGTCCTCTGAAGGCAGTGACCCCTCCTGGGCAAGGGACCTGGGCTTTCACACCACTCACCAGTCAATCACTGGCTAAGGGCTGCACTTCTCGCTAGCAGCAGGCCACCAGGCTGGTTGAGTGTGACTCCAGGTGGTCCTGCAAAGGTGCAGCCATTGGAAGCGAAGCTGGGGTGGGACTCACAGAAATGGTGAATGGCACTGAGGGGATCTGGGAGGACCTCTGACACCTGCCACTACGACAAAGCAACAAATGGCCCACGTCTCCCTGCCATGGGATCCCCTATTGATTTTTAAAAATAAAGGTGAGGGTGGAAACTAATGTTATTTTAATAATATCATGATTACATTTACTGACTTTTTAACATTTCAAATAATTTGGCCTGTGGAATGCAAATGCTCCTGTCCATTATGACTGAGGCTAAATCTTTAAGATATTGTAACTATAACTGCAGGGTCTGTTTGATCCACCTGGGAGAACTAGAGAAGTTAGCATTTTTTCAAAGCAATGAAGGTTTTACTATAAAAAGTCTCATTAGAAAGTTATCTGTCCCTAAAACATACAGGCAATCAGAAGGTCAGGTATTAAAAAAAGCAACTTTTCATACTTTTCTCCCACCTTTTGGCTCTATCACATACGGAGGTAATGAAAAAGAAAACCAGTCTCCTGTTTTCCATTTCAGTAACCAACCCCCTCGCCACGCCCTCCAGCCAGGCCTCAGCTCTGCTTAAACCAGTGACCTCCATTCTTTACTTTCAGGACAATGGCCTTTGCTGTGTTAGGTACTGAAGCTTCTGCTAACTTATTGCTGTTCCCAGACCTGCAAACACCCATCAAATCATGAGTTTCCTGAGTCCCCAGTAGTAAAAGAGGACCATCCCATTTTAACACCCCCCGGGCATATATTCCAGTCTGTGGTTTTAAATCTTTGTGAATGTTATGGAAGATCTTTGGCGGCTGAGGAAGTTACTGGGCCTGGAAAAGAAGGGAGAGGGGAGGGAGGGGGAACAAAGACCCTTTAAGGATGAGTGCAGGCAAACACCTTGTCCCTGCAGCTCTTCTCTAAAGGGCCTGCTCACAGAGGCGATCTTGGCTTGGGGAAGGCAGAATAAAAACTTAAAAGGGTTGAAAAAATTTAGAAAAGAAACAAGAGTGACCGATAACTTAGCAGAGGGCTTAAATTTTTTCTTTTGTGTGTGTGTCTGTAATGTAGGAAATTGGGCAGGACACCAGTGACTCCTCATTATGTTAGGAGGACAGTGGGAAGTGATGTCTGATGTTATGGGACAAAGTGTGCTGTGCCCCTCTCCTTGCCTAGAATCCCTACGTTTAAGTCCTAACCCCCAATACCTCAGAGTAGGACTGTATTTGGAGATCAAGTCTTTAAAAGGGTGATTGAGTTAAGGTCATTCAGGTGGACCCTAACCCAATGACTCGTATCCTTACCAGAAGAGAATTCAGACAAAGACATGTACAGCGGAGAGACCACGTGAAGACAGTGGGGACAGCCATCTACAAGCCAACGAGAGAGGCTTCAGAAGAAACTGTGATCTCCTTGACCTTGGACATCTAGCCTCCAGAATTGTGAGAAAATAATTTTTGTTGTTTAAGCCACCCAGTCTGTGGTTTACTAACATTTAATGTGTTTGCATGATGAGCCCATAAAGGAAATTGATTACAGTTTTCTATTTTGTGGTGTCATTGTCAGACTTTGATATCTGTGTGATGTTTGCTTCACAAAAACACATCAGCAGTTTTCCTTCTTTGTTCACGCTATGGGTAATTTCATTTTTTTATAATTCTTTGACCCTGTAGTATATGCATACATTATCAAATTTAAAAAGGCATACATTTAAACGCCCCTGCCTGTCTTCCAGCTACATAGTTTCTTCCTCAGAGCCAATTATTGTTATCTGTTGCTTTTATATTCCTTTACAGATATTACACCTGTGTGTGTGTGTGTGCACACACACACAATTCAAATGGTGGCATAACAGAGACAGTGCTCTGCCCTGTATCTTGCCTTTGCCCCTCTAATAACTTCGGAGATTGTTCCATAGCCACATACAGAACCTCTGCATCTTAGCTAAGTGCACAGTATTCCATTTTGAAGATATAAAATTAATCATATCAGTTCTCCTTTTAAATAGTATTATCATTACCTGTTCCTTGAAAGTTCAAAATCATTTGCTTCTGAAAGCATAAAGGCCTGAGGCTTTTTCAGATCCTTGATAATTTCTTAGATTTTTTTCAATAATATTAAAGCTGTTCTCATTTCTCTTTGGTAAGCTTGGGTAACTTTCTTACCTATGAAAAATTCATTCCAGCAAGATTTTTAAAAAGTTGTATGGCAAACATTTTGCAAAGGTTCTCCGTTGATTCTTTTCATTTCTTCCTTAGCCATGGTTCCTTCCCCCCTTTTCACTTTTAATTTTGTGTTTCTGTGCTTCCCTACCATTTCTTTGATTACAGTAGTGAATGGATTAGTTCACTGTGTAGCACTGTTTTCAGGGAAACAGCACTGGGGATTATTCATAATACTTACTGGATTTGTTTTTAAATAAGAAAAAAAAATTTTAATCCTCACCCAGGATGTGTTTTTATTGATTTCTAGAGAGAGAAGAAGGGGACGAGGAGAAAAACAGGGATTGAACCCGCAACCTAGGTACGTGCCTTGACCAGGAATCAAACCCAATACCTTTTGGTATATGGGATTATGCTCCAATCAACTGAGCTACCTGGTCATGGCAGAAAACGTAATTTTTTTACTTTATTTGGTTCTTTCTTCATTCCTTCCACATATTTTGCTATTCTTTTTTAAAAATATATATTTTATTGATTTTTTACAGGAAGGAAGGGAGAGAGATAAAGAGTTAGAAACATCGATGAGAGAGAAACATCCATCAGCTGCCTCCTGCACACCCCCTACTGGGGATGTGCCCACAACCAAGGTACATGCCCTTGACCGGAATCAAACCCAGGACCCTTCAGTCTGTAGGCTGACGCTCTATCCACCGAGCCAAACTGGCTAGGGCTATTCTTTTAAATCAGATGTTAATTCCTTTAAGTTATGAACTAAGAGCTTATGTTCCTCCCAAATCCATATGTTGAAGCCTAATCCCCAAAGTGATGGTGGTACTTTGAGGTGGGAACTTCATGAGAGTGGAGCCTCCAGAGTGGGGTTAGTATCCTCCTAGGAGCGCCCAGAGCTCCCTCACGCCTTCCTCCATGTGAGGACGCTGCAAGATCACCTCTATGAACCAGGGGCAGGCCCTCACTAGAGATTGAATCTGCTGGCACTGTGATTTTGGACTTGCCAGCTCCAGAACTGTGAGAAATAAAGGTCTGTTGTTTATGCCACCCAGACTGGTATTCTGTTACAGCAGCCCAAGTGGACTGAAACAGTTTCTTTTTGTACTTTTTTATTAGTTATTTGGGTGTAAGGCTATACTTTTTCTGCTAAGCACAGCTTTAGCTATAGCGCATAAGTTTATATGTTATATTTTCATTATCAATGGCGTCTAGATTTTTTTTAGAATTGGGTTTTGAATGTTTCTTTAAATTAAGAGGTGTTTGTCAAAGCATTTTAAAAGTCCAGATTGTAAAATTTGATAATGAGTTTTAGTTTATTGCATTGCAATTAGGTGATGAAGACTTTGATGTTTCAACCTTTTAAAATTTCCTGCAATTTCTCTGTAGCCTATTAAGGACATGTATCGCAAATTTTCCAAAGGCCCATAAAAAGATATATTCTCCATCATCAGGGTTTAAATTTAAATATTATCATCTTGTTCATCTTTATCAATTATTTTGTTCAGATTATATTTATCTACTTGATTTCCATAGATTCAGATGTTAAAATCCATCACGTTTGTTTATTTCTCCTTGCATTTCTATAGTCTGCACACTGTGTTACATTACTGTATCATTCTATACTGTATATCCTGAATTCCACACTTTAGAGGGGCCTCCATGTCACAAACATATTCCCACCGAAAATGATCAGAAAACATATCCGGGCCTGTCACTCAGGATTTGATGGCTTCCGTACAACACAGCCAGTAACTTCTATTCTTGTGCCTAATGCCACCCACACCCTGGGAAACCTCCTCTACCTTTCACTCAGGCCAAGTCTGAATGTCAGCAAGGGTTATGAGTTGTGGATTGTGTAACTGCAAAAATGTAGACAATAGAGGTGCACACTGCTGTGTGGTGTGGGCAGCGCAAACTTGGGTGAGAGATGGACAAATTAATGTCAGATCCTTCCTCCCCAGCAGCATGAGTGCAACAGATTCCTGCCTAAGGAACTCAGTTCCCAGAACGCTGCACATCTATTTCCTTTCACAGAACTTTCTGGCGCCACTTCATAGTTGTGGAGGTCTCACAAATTCCAGCAGCATTCGCAACTGATGCACCTAATAGCTTGGGCACATTTTACAATATTAAATAACACACTCTCCTCAAGTCTGAATACATGTTGATGGCAACATGACTTGCATAAAACCAGGTATCAATTCTTTACAGTGGCAAATATATAAACATTTGAACACAAAATTGGAAATCGTTTTATCTTCATAAAAGTATTTAGTAAGATTTAATTAAAATGTCAAAAAATGAAAAAATTAAATCCAGCAATTTAATTGACTTAAAGATTTTATATTGGCTAACATAGTCTGCATTTTGCCTTTTAATTCTAATATATCATTTTGAATTTTTATTAAAATATAACTTTTTTAAAAACACTCAAAAATAATTTTAACTTTCCCAATTTTATAATTCATTTAAATGCTTAATGAAAATATATTCAAATTTTACACACTGTGAATACAAATGCAGGTTAATTTTTAATTCTCTCGACCAGGAGTCAGCAAACTTTTCCTGTATAGGACCAGAGAGTCAACATCGCTGCTGCCCCCTCACCTCTGCTCTTTCAGGACAAGAGGAACTACAGATAGATGTGACCCCAGGCCTTAGATCACTCCTGCCTATAGAGGCAAACTATGCTTACAAAAAGTTGACTATAACACTAATTATTTTACTAAAATAAAGATTAACAGAAAAATAACTCATTTGGAAAACTTATTAGTAATTTATAAATTATTTGTTTTTAACATATTCTTCCAAATACCATAAGCCTAATAAGTAATAGAATATGTACAATAATAATTAAATTCAGTTGTCTCTGATATTTTGCCAATTTTCAGTCATATAAAAATCATAGCTCCACCTATACCTTTACATTTTTGTTGTTAAAAAGTTATATCGACATTTCTTTAACAGTTTATTAGCTGGATTTATAACTTTCAAATATTTAGACAGATGGTATGTGGCCTCCATTTGTGTCTTAAATCAGGCTCCCTAGAAGTAGAAGCTGAGACGGGCACTCTTGCAGAATTGATTGAAGGAGTGCCCTCAAGAGAAAGCTGCAAAGAAATGAGTGTGTGGGGTGGGTCAGAGAGGAAACCAAAAAAATCTGTGGCTTCAGCTGAGCCTTCACCCAACCCCAGGAGGAGCTCTGGGATATGCATGGCAGCACAGAGCCGGCTCACCCTGACAGCTTCCGTGAGTCAGTGACCATGGAGGTCTTTGGTCAAGAGTATAATTCTATTTGGAAGCATTCATCTGTGAGACCTTAGCATCCAACACTCCGAGCAGCTGGGGCATGGGTGTGCTGACCCAGAGAAGTTGATCATGGTGGGGCACCAACAGCATCCTCTATGGAGGGAGACCCAGTGTAAGGATATATCCTCAAGTGACCTCCACTTTGGGCAACTGGGATTCAGTCTTGCTGGGACTCTCTGAGACACCTATGGGCTTCAGATGTATATGAAGAATGTGCTTTAGAATTATTTGAACAAACACGGAGGAGGAGAGCATTTATTCAGGAGTCCTGTCCCCCACTAGGCAGGGGTTACTCCAAGGTTTACGACTCTCTCGCACTGCCAGGCTGCCAGGCCCCCACCAGGTGTCAGAGAAGCTCTAGGGCAGAACATGGTGCAGCTTAGCGAGAGGCTTCAGGTCTCGCCTGCCCGAAGCTGGTTCCACAGCGATGGCCCCAGTAAAATCGTGAGACAAGAATATGAGGCGGGCCACACGAAGTGTCCAAAAGATTAATTAGTTCCCCCGGATCTTTGCAGAATATGGCTAATCCGTCCTGCTCTTGTGTAACTTTCCCATAACTACAGTTGTCCTCTCCACACTCCCCTTACACTTTTAAGTGAGCCGCCTCCTGCACACGCGCCACTGGGAATGTGCCAACAACCCATGTATTTGCCCGGATCTTTGCAGAAAATTGCGACTCCGCAGTGCTCTTGTGTAAGCTTTACCCACTGACAGTTGTCGTCTCCACACTCCCCTTACACTTTTAGACTAACTACCTAATATTCATTTTCAGGACATGGGGACTTACAGATCAATATTGGGTAAAAGAAAAGTGATAACTAACTTATCGATCTCATGGCAATAACTAGCTCTCTCTACTTTCGTTAAGGTCACTAGAATTGATGGTATTATTTCATTATTCAGTGATAATTATATATGGAATGTTTCATTTAAAAATTCAGATAATTTGTATAGTGAGATAA